TCATTTTCATTTTTAGAATTTTATCTAAAAGTGAAATTAAATTAAAATCTAATTTATTTTCATATTTTGAATTATATATATATATTGTGTGTGTGTGTGTGTGCGCCGTAAGCCTTGGCCTGTTGGTGGCGAGGTCACTGTAAGTCCCCTCAGGTCAAAGGTTTGATCCCACCGCGGCGCGGGGGCTCTGGAATTTTAGGCTACATGGAGAGGGCTCGAAAAAGCGCATGTGAAATAAATATTTGGGCCCCTACTAAATATCGATTCTCTCTCTCTCTCTCTCTCTCTCTCTCTCTATATATATATATATATATATAGATTGGCATTAGGCCTATCAGTTTTCAATTTTTTAATGTTTAATATTCATAAGGATGACAATCTATAGCTGTGATGGATGCTCATGTATATCTTTGATTTTTTGTAATATGAATGTACTTTCTCTATGGACATGCTTATAAGGTATATTTAAAGAAAAATGCTTTGATGCATGCATATTGCTATTAATATAGTTCTAATTAGTATGACATGTAGTGAAATAGGTGAAAATTAGAACACTGGAAGAAATGTTTAGATGATAGGTGCTTTGAAATTAGTTACACAACTGTTTAGTATATGATGTATAATTGTAGAATATATGATAATAATGATTAACATTCATTTGTATTAGAATAGAAGGTAATATCTAGATGTGATTGCGTGATAGGTTTATGTATCTTTGTTCTTTTGTAACAAAAAAGATAGATATATGATATAAATTTTAGAGTTATGGTTGGATAGTTAAAATCGAAATGTGTCTTGGGAGTTTTTCCTGATTACAGGCTTAAAGGTAAATTATATATAATCATAATTAGGCCAATAATATTTTCTGGATTCAAATGTTTGATGCTCAAAATGTAACGGTATCTAAGTTGAGTGTGCCAAAACTAGAGATGATAAATTAACGAATTACTATATTAGAAAAGTTTTGGAGTGACGTTATTGTAAATAGTGCCATTGAAGATATACTTAAGTTCTTTGGACATATATAATGGAAGTTGAAAAATGCTCTGGTTAGATGAGTTGATCAAATTAGTGTCAAAAGCTTAGAAAGAAAATTCTTTAGATATAAAGTTACATGGATAGAACTTGTTTAAAATATTTTGTGCTAAAAGAAGAATTTGTTCAACACCCCCAACAACACTCATAGGGAAAAAATGGAAAATTTGAATTAATAATGCTAATTACAAATAGTTTGGACAACGCTAATATAGTTATGATGAATTCACTTTTCTATATAGTCCACTCTACTGTTATTATGGATTTTAATGTCTTAATACATTGATCATGGTGGCCTGCTGAATATAATATATTGCTTTGGAATATTTTAGTAACGTCTGCTTTCTGAAAGAAATGTGCATACTATGATTTGTTAAGTCTTTCTGGACTGTTTATACGAAGCCCAACATTAGGTGATCTTAAGAAATCTGTAGTTTCAACAAACTCGTCTAGGGTTGATGGCAGCATTTGATTTAAGATGTCATAAAAATTTGAAAATAACATTGAACAAATTCAAGCTCAATCAATTTAGATTAAACCATGAGTACAGGAAAGAAATCTGGTAAAAGTACCTTTATGGTTGCAGTTGAGGTGCTGTTGCAATTAAAATAGTGTAGAAATTTAAGTTTTGGTAAAGCAAGTGCTCTGGTCATATATACTGTATTTCTAACGGAAGAACCTATAGAACAAGTGACAAGGTGTTTATTTTGCCTCTCGATCTCTTTAAACAAAGTTTTTTGAACTTACATTTGATTCTTTCCTAGGAAGGGAAAGTTTTTATAAAACCTTGTTATTTATTACTTGCTATGTCTACCTCGACAGTAAAGAAATAGCCATACATGATTTATCTGTTCTTCCTTGCTTCTGTTTCATGATGCTATGAAGGTTGAGGCCAGCTGTTGGCAGGGAAGTCTGATCCGTATTTTAGTTCAAAACCTATGTAAATTACATGTTTTTTATTTAAACTTATATATAAACGGTTCATTTTTTATTTTTTGATACTAATTTTTCTGTCTGCTAAACAAATTTTCTGTTGCAGGTGATACTTTTGGCTGGCCTTGCTAAAAAATGTGATGTTGGGCTGTTTAAACTAAAAAGATTCCTCTAACAAAAAATATCATTGATTATTATTTTGTTTTAACTTTTTTAATAAAAAATTTTGAAGGAACAACTGCCTTAATCAATGGGAATCTGTTGTATGGTGTGCTTTTAAATTTTTGGTTCATGCATTTTGAACTTTTTCATGCTTTGATATTAGTGCAATAAAATGATTGAATTTACCCATTAAACTAAAACTATTTTTGAAACGCTAATTTATAAACTTAAATTAGTTTTCTTTTATTAATGGATCTTTTGCATATTTTAGGCTAGTAGATAAAATTAGTGTTAGAGGTGTAGGAGGTAGAAGCGGTTTACCTTCGTTAACATGGTATTGTTCAATTGGATTTGCGAAAATGAAATAAAATAGCAGCTTAGGTTGCACTTTATATGATCAAATGAAATTAGGATTTAGGCGTTTGTCTCCAAATAGCCGCAATAAGGTCAATGATGATGATGTGTTTGGAAAGATAGCATGAGTTTTATTAGCAGGAATCAGCCACCACCATCACAAATCATTTCATAATGGTGGTCCCCAAGGATATGCATATATCTCAACCAATTCTGTTTTAGCTATTCCAGAACTTTCTTTATGCTAATATATAATGCTTTCTATGTAAAAGGCCTAGGGAATGAAATAGGGCTTTTACCTGATGTTCGTTGAGAGGTTTTCTTATCCATGTGGCTGAAATCCTATTCCAAGGATTTTGCACCTCTTTTAGGTATCAGAGCACACCTGGATAACGGATCTCTTCCTTCATATCACGGTACCTAATCTCATCTTCTTCATCGAGTATTTACATTGAACCTAAGAACATCTTCTCTCTTCTCTCCCAAATGATGAATCTACTATTACTGAATCCCAATCTTCTCTACTCATTATACCAACCACCAACTTCCCCCCTTCCTTAAAATTTCTGATCTCCCACCTCAAACACCTTACTCAACACCAGTTCACCACCGAAAATTATCATACCTGGCAAGCTCAGGTTCTGAAAACCTTCTTGGCGAATGGGTTCGCAGGATTCCTAGATGGTAGCTGCGCTTGTCCTCCACAGTACATTGACGACGCTAATACTAGCTTTGAGAACCCACAATTTCAAATATGGAACCTTATTGATCAAAATCTGGCAGCCTCTCTCTACTCAATGATATCTTTCATGGTGTGTCCCCATATCCTACATCTACACTCCACCACAATCATCCAGAGCACTCTAGAGCGCAGACTAAAACCCACCAACAGATCCCGTGTAATCCAATTGAAGAATAAACTACATCACATCTCAATGAAGGAGAACACCATGCAACAATACCTATCCACAATTAGCAACTTGGTTGATCAAATACAAGCAGCCGGATCCACACTTGATCAAGAAGATCATTCTATATATGCTCAATGGGCTTCCCCCATCATATAATGCCTTCAAGACCTCCATTCAAACCATACTGCAGCCTATTGCGCTTGAACACCTCTTCTCCTTACTATGTGGTGAGGAGATTAATATCCAAACTAGGAATGCCAAGAGTACCATATCCGTTCAATCTCAAATGGCCCTCATGGCCTCTTGTGGACTGGCAAAAAAAACCTATAGGGTAAGAGGTAGAAACCAACGTGGAGGCTTTCCAAAAGAATCTTGCGGGGGTAGACAACCCAATTGGTCATCTATCATATGCCAAATATGCAAGAAAATAGGACACTCAACATCTGCTTGTTGGCATAGAACCAACCTGGAATACACACCTACAGCTCCTGTCACCGCAGGAATGGAAGAGTTCGCTCCTATCAGCACACCCATACCGGCTCGTCAACCGGCCTCCTTTACCTCGAGCACCCTTTTTCACAATTCCACTCTTTATCGCCAATTGACGGGCATGCTTCAATACCTCACGGTTACTTGACCGGACATTGCCTACGCAGTCAATTGGTTGTGCCAACATATGCATTCTCCAACCACAACTCACTACAAACACCTAACCCATCTCCTCGATACTTAAAAGAAACTGGCCATTTCAGTATGGAATTTCAACGATGAAATCTCCATCTCTACTCATATGTTGATGCCGATTGGGCTTCAGACCAAACTGACAGTAAATTCAAAACGGGGGTGTGCTCTTTTCTCGGTTATACACTCATTTTCTGGATGGCGAAGAAACAATTCACAATGGCTAGGTCGTTGACAGAGGCTCAATACCGGGCATTAGCTACTGCTACCATAGACATTCTATTGCTTTGCAGACTTCTTCATGAATTTGAGATTGATCTCCAGCAATGTGATAACATTTCGGCTATTGCTAGCTAACAATCCCATCTTTCATGTTAGGACGAAATATATTGAGATTGACTATCCCTTCATCCGTGACCACATCAACTCCAACCATGTCCAAATAGAGCATATACGAACTCAGGATCAACCAGCCGACATTCTTACAAAATCAATTCCAAATAGAAAATTTCACGAACTTCGTATCAAGCTTACCGTTCTTCCTCAAACCATTAGTTTGCAGACGGGTATTAGCAGGAATCAACCACCACCATCACAAATCATTTCATAGTAGGGGTCCTCAAGCGAGTAAACGCATATACCTCAACCAATTCTATTTTAGCTATTCCAGAACTTTGTCTGCCCTAATATATAATGCTCTCTATGTAAAAAACCAAGGAAATGAAATAGGGCTTTTACCTGATGTCTCGTTGAGAGGTTTTCTTCTCCAGGTGGCTGAAATCCTATTCCAGGGATTTCACGCCTCCTCTAAGTTTAATACCTTGGGTTTTTTTTGGTATTGCAATTTTTATAAATATTACTGTAAGCAGTAATATAAATATTATTTATGTTACATTCTGAAGACATTGCATCTATCATTTACAGGCATTTGCGGACTTTATGAGAGAAAACTGAAGGAAATCAATCCAACCATCCTAAACATCACCTATGATATTGCTGATCTATATAACTTCATTGATGGTTTCACTGATCTCAGTGCCTTGGTGTAAGTGTTGTGTATTTAATTACATCAAGAACCAGAATCATTCTTACCCTTTGTTTTGTTACAAACTGATGCTTCTTCTTCGTCCGATCGCAGCTACGATCATTCGATTCATGCTTTTCTTCCCTACGATCGACAATGGATTAAACAACGCATGTTCCAGCACCTCAAAAAACTCGCCTTGCGATAAAAACATAAAACTATTTATGATCATATTTTTATACTGCTGTTCAGTTTATTATGTTGCCATGATGAGCTTCCCTGCCTTGATAATTCTGATTATTAAGTTTGCCATCCTATAAATAGCAATCCGAGTTTATTAGTTATGTACTTGGACACATTGTATATTGGATATGTGACGTTGTTGTTTGAATGGAAGAAAAGTGAAGTTTGTGGTTCTCCCTTGCTGCTTATTGTAGGGATCATGAGAGCGTGGATGTGAATTGTTCTTGATACATGTTTGATTGAACGAAGATGAAGTTGGCCGCTAGGGCAGACGAGTCGATGGAGCTCGGGGTCAACTTCGCGAGACACTAGGGCATATGAATCGAGGGCAAAGCCGATATTATTTTGTCGAGGCCACAGGTCGCGGGTATACCCCGCAACCCCACTTTCCGTCGAATTTATCAATGCCAGCCCGCCGCCGCTGCTTTCAAACAAAAAAAAAAAAAAAAAAAAAAAAAAAAAAAAAAAAAAAAAACAAATCAAAACTTCGCGGCCTGGGACCGTACAACACAAAAAAAATGATCCTAAGGGTGCGTTTGGCGCTGTTTTTCTAGGCGGTGCGGTGGGAGGCCGCAGAAACAACTTGTTGTTTTCACGCATGGAGTTACAAAAATTTCACTGTTATAGTTTTTTTTAAACGACTTTACCAAACAAGGACAATGATCATTTTTCCAGAAACAGCTGTTCTGCAGTTGTTTTCACGCAGCTGCATCAAACAGACAACCAGCTTCCTTGCAGTTGTTTCCCCACAACAGCTTTTTGGGTTAGCGCAGTTGTAGCTGAAAAATTGGGTAGCTGCAGCTGTGCCAAACATAGCCTAAATGAATGTCGAGCTTCTGATAAGTATAAATGTTGATGAACAATTTTAAGTTTTTTTAAATAATAATAAGGAGATTCACATGCATGCCATTGAATTGTTATGTTTTTTATGTATCATGCAACATACCTCTTAACATAATTACTTAACTAAAGATTCACTTTCTTAAAGCCAAATCTATCAGTATGAAAAATCTATAAAAATTTTATGATTCGTACAAAATAAAATAACAAAAAAGTTTGTGAGTGCCTTAAACAATCTATCACCAAAACTTAAATTTATATGTATATTATATATATATATAAATATATATATATGTCACCACATATGCATGAAAATGTGCATCTCACTTTTTTAATTTTAGTATTTTTAATGTGATGTAAAAAAGTTAAGTAGGATAAATGTAAAATTCAAGGTTCAGGTGGTAAATATGTAAATACATAATAATTGGTTGGTATGTACATCAGTGACCCAAAATTCTGGCCTTTATTTTATATATGATCATATAAATTTAATATTTTCTCTCAACAAATTCCTGCGAAGAATCAACAGGCTACCTTTCCATGCATATTCTAGCTGTGTTTCTACACCATTTGAGATGGAGTAATTGTATGTTTTGTTATTGGCTACTATCTAATCCAAGCTGCTCACATCAGAGTTTAAGGTGACACAAGTATTCATTTGAGTCCAATCTTACCTTCATGTTTTCTTTATTTTTGCCCTTAATATATCCATCAACATATGATTAAGTAATCTTTGTAATAGATAAAATGTTATGGACTGTCGGCTTTAGTTACAAACAAAAAGATGCTTTCAAATCCAATGCATTAATATCCTTCTAACATAACAATCAAATATAACATTTTTAATATGGCAACCAATTGTAAGTTCTAGCCTTCGAAATTGAAAATTAAAAATTAAATTGAACAAGTGATCTTACAATCTTTTAGTTAACTTCGATATCTCTAGCAATTTTGTAAGAAGATCTAAAATTTTTTCTTTTCATAGAAGCTCAATTTTTTATTCATAAAAAAGATGATATTGATTGGAGACTAATTAGATTGGTAACACAACAATATATATGATGCGTGCTAGATGATTCTCGGCGGCAGAATAATAGATTATCATTTTTGTGTTACAGGAAGATTCACCACATACTTGAATAAAATAAAACAACCAATAGAGACAATAGAAGTTTTTACGCAAAAAATCTGTAAAGATAAAAATAAAAGGATCTAGTTCAGTTGTAGAAATCAATTATAAGTTGATGATTACAGAGACGCATTGTCCCACAGTCGGGAAAGGGTTACAAAATCTCTCAAATTTTAGCATGGATGCACAAGCAGTTTCATTTCAAAAAGTGGGCGGCAGATAATGATGAACAACAGCAGACCAGCTTCTTCTGGGTGCAATTAATGCAACAATATGAACCATTTTGATCATATGACTTAGAGAGCATCTCTCGATTAGACTGCGTTTTATGGATATTTGAGCGTCTTAACAATTTCAGAATTAAGTGATGTTGCGCTAATTGGATTCAACTATGAACTCACATGCATACAAAATCAAATAAAATTATACATTTTGTATGTGACATGAATACTACAATTTTATATGCTTACTCATTCAAGCTTATTATTTTAAAATAAATCAATATATAAATAAATAATTATCTTAATATAATAATATATGATATTCATCAATTTAATAATAGTCACCAAACAAATTTAGTTATATATAGTTCACCATTTTGAATATATAATTTATTATAAAGATCATTAAAAGCAAAGTCCTTAACATCATAAACTATTCTCTTAGACTCGCTTTCTGAACATTTACATCTAAACTAATTTTTATAATACAATTTTTTATTTTTTTTTATCTTTTCTTACATATTATTATTCCTCCGTCAATTATTTTTATTCATACGAGTTTTTTTTTTGGATTCCCCAAACACCTTTTTTGTAACTTAATAGTACCCATTAATTTATCCCACATATTCATAGCTTCTTCATAAACATTCTCAACCAGTTTTATATTGATATTTTCTAGTATTTTTAATCTTCCAATCTTTAATCTTAAAATTTAAAATTAATAATCGATGTTTGATACTTCGAATTTTTACTTGAAATGACCTTAAAATCTTTACAATCTCCACAATTTATTTTTTAAATTTAAATGCATGAACAATTAAATAAGTTTAAAAGTAGTATCTAACACCTAAACTTTAATTTTTTCATACATTTCAGTATATATATGAAAAGTACTTCACATTTTTAAAATTAAATTTGTGATATCATTAGTGCAATACGAAATATTTCGATATTATTACAATATTAAAATGTATGTGTCAGAAAAAAATAGAAGAATTAGGTTCTCCTAAAACAATATGTAAGTTATAAATAAGTTTTCTTACAATCAAATAACAAAAATAAAAATTAACAAATCAGTTCATTAAAAAAATAACATAAATTTTAAATGCATGTTGATATTAAGTTATAATATAAATTTAAAAATTAAATAAATTCTAATTAAATAATTTTTATTTAGATGGTATATAATAAAATCATAAAAAATTTAATAAAATATTTGTGGAATAATAAATAAAATTGTTGGTGAATATTAATAAATGGGTTAAATCATGTTAAAATTTTTTTAATTTAAACTTCAAATAAAAAAAAACAAATTTATTTATTAATTAAATTGAACAAATGTAATCAAATAATAATTAAGCCAAATTCAAAATTATTCATCAAGCACATCGATTTATTTACGGCCTTACAAAGAGATTCTTGATTACCCAAACCATAACCTAGAAGGCCAACGCAGTCGAGCCAGGCATATGACTGGATTTCCATAGCACTTCGCCGCCTTGATCGGCTGCTTGTTTTCTGCGATCTCCACCGTCATCGCCGGACCCCGGTGGTGCTCCGCTTTCGAATTCAACTACCCTAGTTCTTCCTTCACCCTTCGAAGAGGTATGTTTGTTACCTTTAGCTATCTTCCGGTTGCAGGGCCTCATCTTTCGATTGGATCTGTACTGAAACCCTCCTTATCGTTACTGACCTAATTTTGTTGCACTCGGAAATAGTTTCTAATGGTCGATATTCACTGATTAGATTTTATTTGTGCTCTATTTCGCAATTATTTTATTTCATGGATTTGTTATATTTCGTTAGAGATGAACTCCTTTTCCATTACTCGAAAGAAGACTCCGTTCCAGAAGCACCGTGAAGAGGAAGAAGCCAAAAAGAAGGTAAAGTTTTCTCATTTATCCTCCAGTCTTTTAATTAAGTTTTTCTAGGTTTTGGAAAATGGGTTCTGCTGTTTCATTAGTTAACTTACTCGTTCATGATGATTTGAAACTTGAAGAGAGCGGAAGATGAGACTGCTCGCTTATATGCAGAGTTTGTAGAGTCCTTCCAGGGGAGTGACACGCCTGGATCAAAAGCTTTTGTTAGAGGAGGGACTATTAATCCGAGCGAAAAATTGAAGACTGATTCCGAAGGTTAGTCTTGGAGAGTTTTAATTTTACCTTTCTTTTTTCATACCGTTTATTTTTCAAACACTGGATGCATGCATGATTTTATATTTTAAGATCAACTTAGTAAAAAGATGGCCCTTTTATTCATTCGCCAATCGCAGGTGGAAATTCCAAAGATGGGGTATCTGTTCCAAAGAAGGGAACTAGGTAACTGAATGCACTTGATTATTAGAAGATGAAATCTTGGCGATAACCACATTTCATCCATAAATTAGTCTTATGTTTTTGTGTTGCATCTGCAATGCAAGCTTAGCCATTTATAACTTATATAATTCTCTAGTTGTTCTGTAAATCTCTGATCTATAAAGTATAGTTTCATGTTGCTGCTATGAGTTTGCAATGCAAGCTTAGCCATATAACTTATACGATTATTTAGTTTTTCTGTAAATATATGAGTTAGTTTCTGGATCCATCAATCTCATAATCCAGTGAAGATATTTTATTTTGGAGCAATTTATATTCTTATTAAACATAGGTTTTACTGTTTTTTCTTTCTATGGTGCGATCTTAATGCATTTTAGAACTAGTAGTTTCTAACTAGAAAGCTTGTTTTTTTGAGAAATTATTGTAATTTCACCATCTTTTTGGTGCTGGGCAGAATTCTGGTCCCTCTTTTGTGGATTTAATGGCAAGATATGTCTTTTTTTCTCCCTAATGTTAATTCTTCATCCCAAAGAAAGAGTGGGAGAGACTTTATTTGGCACGTGTAAATTGTTGGCTCAGCTCTTTGACCAGCTAGATATCTTTATTCTGAAGCAATTGTCTTAATCATGTGTTTTAGAGCTAAAAAACTGGCCTTGAGTGACAAGCCAAGTTCTTTAACTATCTTCCACGTATAAAAAGAATTTACTTGATTATTTGACTTGTTGTCAGAGTATAGAAGGCTGGCCTTTTCTTTATATTTTTATTTTCAAACTTTTGATGCATGATAACAGGTAACAAGACATTATTTCTAGGCACCCAAGCTCTGATTGCTCTCTTTTTAAATGTATTAACTCAAATTTTAGATTTTTTTATTTCCACCGAAGATAATTTTATGTGTGATTTAGGTTCTGTTTGGGCAGCTGCAGCTTATCCAATAAGCTGGTTCGCAACAGCTGCCCCCAAAAGCTGCTGTGAGAAAGTTGCTACGGGAAAGCTGGCTGTCTGTTTGTTTTTTATAGTTCTAAAACAACTGTTTGATAGATGTTTCTAGAAAAATAATCATCCCGCCCCTATGTATTAATGCTGTTTATAACAAAACATAGCTATATATTTAATACTTCAGAAGTAAAAATCCACTTTAGAACGGTAAAAAATTCAACTATACACCTCACTTAGCAGTGAGTATCAACATTGCTAACAAAACGAAAAACACTATTAAAATTATGGAGTAGGTTTGAAGGCTCTCCCAAGTAGGCATCCTTGAAGTGGCTTGACAATGTTTTCCTATCCAGCTTATATAAATTAAAAATTATTTAGAATTTAAAATTTTAAAATATAATTAATTAATTAATTAATTATTAAAATAATTTATCTAATTTTAATTAATTTTATTATGTATAAATTATTTTTTAATTATTAATAAAATTTATCTCCTTGTTCCTATTCCCCTCTCTGCCTGAAGCCCTCTTCGACATCCTCCCCATCTCCCGGTTTGGGATGGCGTTCGAGAGGTAGGAGCGACGAGGGACGGAGTAGCCGAACAGTAGAGGAGCGGCGAGGGAAGGCGTTGTCGAATAGCAGAGGAGCAACAAGGGAAGGCGTTGTCGAACAACAGAGGAGCGACGAGGGATTCAACATCGAACAGAGAGAAAGGCCATCAGGGCAAAGGAGCGACGAAGGGGTAAGATTAGTAAAAAGCGAACTCTCGAACGTGGGTCGCGGGGTTCGATCCGCCGTCGGCGTTTAATCAAAACAGCAGGACGCTGCTGCCCAGCAGCCGTCCCAAAGGACCGAAATTCGCGGCCGCTCGCCGCACCGCACTCCGAACGACTAGCCAAACGGGCCCTTATATAAGTGAAATTCTAAAATTCATTGTCATCGGAGATCTCATAATAAATTTTGCAAGTGTATTTATTTCAATGAAAATGACTAAACGCTCAGACATGCTGGAAGAGGCTGGGAGTCACCTATGTTGCTCATTCCTTTTGAGGTTATTTGACAATTTAATGGTTTATGCTTCTTAAGTAAATGCTTTTATGCTTTTAGTGAGTGGTTTAAGTTTATTAGTTTTTATTTTGCTTTATTATTTATGGATTATATGTGAAAGATTTGTATTTCTAAGGAATACCAAAAGTAGATTGCTCAACTTGTTGTCATTTTTCAATTACTATAATTAATTAGAAGGTATCATTTTTTTAATCTTAAAAGTATAACGACTCTTTTTAATGTCTATTATCTTTTTATTATGACTTTTTTTTCCCTTTTTTTCTCGCATATTTAGTTTTCATTTTGGCTTATATGATACATGAAGCCATTTATAATTTTTTTGCATTGTGTGCCTAATGTTAATGACTATCATGTGAGATATTTTCATATTAATATTTTATGAAAATCGCACACACATGGATAATCTGTGAGCAGAAAGTCATTAGATTTTTATTTTGAAAATTCTCTGAAGGAAAAAAAGGCATACAACCAAGCTCAATTGAAATAATTGTACTAGGATAAGTCAAAGATTATAAAGGGCACACTTTTGAGAAGGTATGAATGCAATTTCATAGATATAAAATGTAAAAGATGTCCCTCGTGGTGTTACTTAAATGAATTTTTAGGTATTAATAGTTTTTATTTACTGATTAGTGTTTAATGTCAATCAACAATGTTCGTCGAGAGTTTTGGGATGGAGGGTAGTTTATTTGGTCATTCTCTTGATAGAGGAGATATTAGAAGAGTATGAAGATAGTTTTTGAACTTTCGTCTTTAGAAGTTGATGGATAATTTTGAAACTTTAACAATGGTTGACTTAGTTATTCTTCTAATAAATGGGTAACCAATGAGGCAGTTTTCGAACTTTGGTGGTTGGCAAGGTGAACATTATATTTGGGTTGGTGATGGATAATGTTTGATGGGTATGCTAGAAGTTGGGTGACTATGAATAGAGTTTTAGAATTCTCAAAAAATCGCAATTTTCTTTAACAAAAATTATGCCTTTGAATGTGTAAAAAATATGATTTATTTTTAAACCTAGGGAGGGAATTTTTGATTGTTTACTGCAAGATCCCAAATACTTCATTACATGTTGAGTAGATACTTTTGATTGTGCTATATTTTTTTTTTTGGACATCTCAGTGCTTTAATAAAATTTGGAATTGAGTGATGTTTGGCTTGCATAATCTGTCTCTTTCAGATGCTCATTTTACTTATAAACAAATAATATTTGGAGGAAATTAACCACTTAACTGGCCTCAAGAACTTTTATCTATACTATTGAGAGCTTGATTTAGGTCCAAATGAGCTGAGCCAAGCATCTTGGTTTCAATAGGTTTGTATGATCAAAGTGCACTGTTTGACATGCAAAATTGTTGCAAAGGGAGTTAAAATGATCTCAAAGTCAATTTTAGTTTAGTGAAATACTTGGGTGTTTTAACATATGAAAATTGCTTTAAAATCTATGTTTGATCATATGAATTTTCAAGTGGTATTGGTTGCCCTATATTCAAGAGGCAAAATTTGTTTGCTTGAAAGTATTGTCTTTGATCTTAATTTATTAGAACTAAATGAAAATATGACACAAAATATGACGCAATGGAGAAATAGGATTCATGTAGCCGACCCTGCTTTGTTGTTATTGTTGTCGTTGTTGAAAGTATTGTTTTTGAAAAATATGGAAAAAATTAAAAGTTTGTGATTTTAGAGGAGATATGTCATTCTAGGCCTATCGTCAAGGTTATGGACCAAATTATCATTTTTCTATAATAATTTCACACTTCAGTGTAGTTAACATATCTTTGAGACAAAAAAATGTGAGAAAATTTGGCAAAAAATCCTCAAAATTATTTCAAAAGAATCTTTGAAGGCTTCATTAGGGATTGTAAGTGCCAAAGTTGAGTTATGAGTATTGAAAAATGGTTAGGGGACCCAAAAATGCTCATAGTTCGTATCTCTGCCAAATTTATATACCTTATCAACTTTTTTAAGATTGTTCATAGTGATATAATTACGAATAATTGTGGAGCTAGATGTTTTTTTTAATTGATGATGATACCCGTCTTTAATAGGTGTTTTTATTTTTAAAAAAAATAAACCGGGTCAAATTTTAAAATATTTAAGTTCCATAATTCGAACTAGATTTCAATCTAAATTTTAAGTCCCAAAAACTGACAATACCATATAATATTTTAAATTGGCCATAAGAAATTATCTCCTACATCCACCAAAGCACCTATGTTGACATCTCTTAGAGTTGATTGGATCAATTATATTCTCCTTAATTAATTTATTTTGTTCTAATAGATACTAATAGGGTGATATATATATATATATATATATATATATATATATAAACTAGCAAAACAAAGAGAAAAGAAAAGTAAAAATTTAATTCAAGTAAAGTGTATTAAAAATGAAAATTAAAAAGTATTTTTTTAGAAGAAAATATTCAACATAGGTGGTTGAGATATTTTGATTAAACTTTCAATGAAGTTTTGGAAAATATGATCAAAATAATTGATCTTAGTATTGTTAATAATAATAATAATTTTTATTTTCACTGTCACATTAGTAAAAATGGTGTTGAGGAGGCTTTAAATAAAATGAAAGATGGAAAATCAGTAGGACCTAATGATATCTTAATTGATGTTTCGAAATATGTAGGAAACTTGGGAGTTTCTTAGCTTACTAAACTCTTTAATGTTATTTTAAGAACTAAAAAGGTTCTTGAGGAGTGAAGCGTGAGTATTTTGGTTTTATTTTTAAGAATAAAAGGGATGCATAAGAGTGTGCAAATTATAGTATAATTAAATTAATGTGTCATACATTAAAATTATGGGAGAGTAATTGAATATAGGTTAAGTGATACAAAGAATTCTCATGATCAGTTTGTATTTATGTTGGGCAAGTCTACTATGGAAGCTATACATTCATTGAGAGGTTTCATGGAGAAATATAGAGAGAGTATGGAGGATGTACATATGATTTTTATTGATTTAGAAAAGTTTATGATA